TGCTTTCAGTCTTATGTTTATAAGCCCAATATTGTCCTTTTCTTTCCTCATATTGATGGCTAGAAAAAAAGAGACTAGTACATATGATGGAAACACATAACAACATCTTGCACATTTTTTTTTCGTTACGAAGTAATTCGTTGCATGGAAATCAATTATTTTAGATACATTTCTCCTGCCTATTTGTATATAGAACCACATGGAATTTTGTTTTCAGCCCAGGAAGCTGCAGTCTCTTCAGTGGGCCAAATACCCAGCCTTCAGTGATGAGATGATTTGGCAACTTCGTACTCACACACAGCTCTTAACTGAAAAGCTAGATGTGTAGGAGGATCTGGTGGTCTCTCTGAGGCTAATGGGTTTGTACAGCCTAATGTGCAACACCATAGCCAACTTCTTGCTACATATTACAGACCTCCTACTAAGAAACCAGGAGCAATACCGTAGGATTCAAATTCTTCTCCATGAATTTCATCACCTATACCCAAATAATCGTTTCTGATCTGCCACTGATAAAAAAGCTACACCCTACAAGAGGAAGCAGTAAGACAAACCTATAAAATTGCTGACGAATACAGACTCACCAAGTAAATTGTACATATTTCTTTAAGCTACAATCACGTCTCAATAGTATGCTCAGATTAAGCATCGGTGTAAAATCCCTGATCAGGCTAATGTATCTGGTTAATGTGAAAGGCAAAACAAAGGGCTGGCTCTGGCAATAAGGCCTTTTGTAACAATTCCTTTGTGTGTCAGAGAGAGATCATCAAGGGATTGCTTTGACAGGCTAAATATGTCTCTGGCATACCTAAAATGTCTTAATCCACTCAGAGCGGGAGTATCAACCCTGAAAGCACACGTGAGGGTATGCAGTAGCTATATTACCTTGAAGCAGCTGGGCAGCTGAGCCTTGGCAAAAGGTACTTGCTGGTCTGGCATGCCAACAGGCGACCCACTTGTCATCACACACATATAAAGGTATTTGAGGAATTCTGTGCTTTTTGTGTTGCTATTCATTTTATAGCTTCACAGCAGAAAGAACCAATAGTCTATGCTTTGTATCACTAAGTAGATAAAAATTCAGTCAGTTGAAAAATACTGGAGTTTAATTTTCAGTTGAAAAGGCCATTTTAGTGTATGTCTCCACTACCAAACCTTCACTTTCAGGGATAGCTTTAGGGTTATTTTCATCAAACTTGAAATGTATTATTTAAACCATGCAAGTGCTCCTGCTCATTAGCCAATACTGTGGTTAAGAAAAGCTCCAGAGTCTTTAAAAAGTCAAGAACCACTGTCCACAAGTTTTTATAACTCTCTTGAGTACACTTGTGTTTGAACTTATTTAGGAAAAAAAACTGTGAAGCCATAAAGTGCTATGATATTGTAGGCCTTGACAGAATCTCTGATTCTTTTTTTTCCTTGATTATCAAAACTTGTGTGTGAAATTGTCAGAGATGTTGCACACTAGGAAAACCAGAACCTGACACAACTGAAACAGCTGCTCAAATAATTTTCTTATCATAGTTTTAAAATAATTACTGTAGTAATTATTCATTACTGCAAGTACCTTTGCAGAATGTGCAAGTATAAATTATTTACTTTGACAGGTATGAAAGAGGTCTCTTTCAGAGATGGACCTGTGTCCCTGCTCCCTGTCACAGTTAGGGAACATTCTGCCTGTTGAGGTTCTTTGAAAGAGGACAAAAAGGATGGCATCCCCTTCCCCCCAAAATAGCTTACTTAGTAACAGAAGTAAGACTACAAAACCATGGACTGTGAAATGGCATGTAAATAGAGATTTCACATTATACTGTAGTACAAACAAAATTCAGATGGCTAATAAAAAATGTGCACAAGAAGCGTCATATACCTACATACACTTCTTATAAACCAGCTAAAACTGTGTTTTGACAGAAAATTGGTAGTATGCTGTATATACTACAATATAGCCAGCACGACATGGCATGACAGATCATTAGTAACTTTGGTCTGTAGTATATATGAAGTACTATATATACAGTAAATGTACGTGTGATGTAAAACAATTTCTTTTGAAACATTAGCTAGAGAAAATCCTTCAAGTGATTAAACTCTACTGTGAGATTATTTAATTTTTCCCACTGAAACAAACTGGTATCGAAGCTTGTTTTCAAATCTCCTCAAATCTCCATTTTGTCATACATACTTCTTGTATGAGTAAATTCCAGTATGAAATTAGTAACTTGTTATTTTACTGAAAGGCTCTCTTTCCTCAGTAATTTTTCATCTTTAGTTAGGAAGACTAAAGAGCTGATGCTGGAACACTTATTCTTCTTAAATGATTGGTAAGAAAATTATTTTAATCAATGGTATGGAACAAGGTGAGACAAAAAGATTGAAGTTAACTACGCAATCAGAGATTTAGGTATCTACAAGAAGGTCTGGAAGACATTGTAGACCGAATTCAGAACAACAACAACAACATCATAAAAACCTGCATTCACCTCCTGCCTCATCACATGAATCCCTAATAAAGGAATTTGATCTGATAAACACCCCCAGAAAATACCAGAGTATACAGGCAGATGATCACGAGCAATAGTCCATCAACTGGACTGCATTAAATGACCATGTGTTTATTCCCAGCACTTGAGTGTTGCCAACATGCCTCAGTTTAAAGCAGATACAAGTGGCTAGAAAAATATGCAAATAAGTCGAAGAGCAGCTCTTAAAGTGGTAATTGGTTCAATTTCTGATCATGTCACCACACAGTTGTAAACAATCTTTTTGAAGCGGTCGTGCCACTGCAGCTGCAACCTGCCCTCTACATAATAGCTCTCTATTACAGAGCACTCACACATAAAATGAATGATCAGTATCTGCTTCCCTCCTTGTCCCAAGGGATGCTAACCATGTCAAACAAAAATGCTGTGCTTCAAGGCATGAAAACAGTTATCGGAAAAAGATTTTGTACGTGTTAGGAAGCACAGAACTAAAGACCATGTAGCCCCTTACTATATGGAAATAACAGCTTCTTCAGAAAACATATTTGTATGTTTGGATGTAAATCAGAATGATACAGTTGTAGCTGATAATGATGTAGCACTTCATTGCTCATTAATGGTGAAGAAAGTTTCACAGCATTTTTAATAGTCACGAACCTTTTAAAATCAGCAGATCTTGAAAAGCTTCTAAGTTATTTTGCCCCAGTACTGGCCATTTTAAACATCACCCCTTCTAGTTCACTGTCTCTGCATCCCATCCTGAGGCACTAATACATAACATCAGCCTTAGGTTCCTTACCCAGACTTCGGTCCCTGGTAGTTTGGAGTCAGAAGTATTTGGCAGTCAGGTACTTATGGATTTTATCTAATCAGTGCTGGCCACAGAGGTGACTCTGCAAAACACATGTCCTTCTAAATATCCCTACTGTATGTAGTTTCCACATAGCTAATACTGGATAACTTACATTATGTTAACATCAGTTCCAGATTTGATCTTTGTCCTAAAACCTTGACTTGGGGGAGCACATTTTGGTTTTCACTTTTACTAGGTTGCCAAAAAAATAAAGGAGCAGGCAGTTCTGTTTCAAAACTGAGGTATTAATCCTATTTACTTAATTATGGGTCTTTTGATCTGTCCTATTTCAATTGTATTCATATTGAAAGTAAATATAAAAATAAAATGGAGCACAGTATCTAGGTAGTAATTGGATATGAGCTCCGCCCCCTGCAAAACCCAGAGTTTTGCATAAACACCACAAAAGTCAGTTGTGAAATACATCCTACCCACCAGTTAGCAACGCCCCAACGGCAGCTCCCACACAGATCTCAAGCCATTTGCAAAATGGAAGCAGTGGACAGTAAACGAAGCAGCCTGGCTTTGAAAGCGTGTCAGTCGGCGAACTACGGCCGAAACGCCTGTTGGAGGGATCCCAATGCACCACCTGAGCCCGAGCTGCCTCCAGCTTTGAAACGTATTAATGTGTGGAACAGCCAGTGTAAACATCAGTTCTTAGCTTCTACCTCTGACTCGGAGGTGAAATCTTCACTAGTAAAAATTTTGATACTATTCTCGGGCAAGGTTGAAGGTGAAAATTAAGTAATTGCAATTAAATCAAATGTATTTGTTCATCAAAACTTTGCTTCAGTTAATAATGTTAATTTTTTTTTCTCAGTCCTATTCTACATTTTTCTCTTTCTATTCTTACATTTTCTGGGCATTTATTTTAAAGTTCAGTCTCATTAAAACTTAATGGATGAAGTATAAAAACGTTCTTCCATCTTACTGACAGAATCAGTGTAACTTCTGAGGGCAGTATTTCACTTAAACTTCACAAAATCCATAAGCAATATGAAAACTCATTTCAATAGTTTATTACATCCTTGATTCGGTATAAATAAAACTGTTGGATTCTACTGCTTTCATCCCTGTCATGCAATTCTAGTATTCACTCCTGCAATAAATTAGGTCTTATAAACAACCAGACATCATAAAACAAATTCAAGAGATGCCGTAAATAGGGAGCAAAAAGGAAATTATCTAGTGCAAGCTTTTTGAGTGTAAACCCCTTGACACATGTTGTAACCAACCAGTTAATAATTGCTTTGTAAATTGTTGTAAATCTGAAAGGAAGCAGAGGGGATAAAACTAACAAACAAGTCATAAAGTACAATGGTTACTTGTTTGGAGTGATTATTGCCGCTGCCAACCAGGTTCAAAATCTTGTAAAAAAGAACCTGTTTTTATATTTCTTCCAGTGTAGCTGTTATACTTGTGCTGGAAAATACATATAATCCTCATCAATAAATAATGTGTCACACAAAATATATGCTTGCGCAGATGCTGAATATTTACAAGAGCAATGTAAATTGCTGCAGCCACAGATTTTAACACCACTCCTCACACACTGCTCTCTCCCTTATTCACCCAGAAGAGATTTTCTCAGGCTGGACAGATTATGTAAGGGACGTTAAAAATCCAGCGGGTATAGGAATGGGTACCTCCATCACTGTGTCATGCTATAGTGCAGGAGCTCTCTTCCCAGTTGAAGAGGCCGTACAAAGATAACTGTAAACAGGAACCTCCTACAGAAACAAATTAAAATTTGGCAAAGTCATGTACAACTGAAAAAAGGGTTATCCAAAGGACAAAGGCTGGCAATCTTTGTAATTGGCCTTGTTACCATTTTTAGCTATAACACTCCAGACTTTTCAGGAATATGCTACTTAACTATAAATTTTTTTTCAGTATTATGGCTTGGCACATCTTCACAATTAACTTGCAGCCATAATGTTATTCCACATTATGTTGCCAGCATTATAACACTGACCTAATTTGTCCCTCATATTGTACACTCAACACAGAGTCAGAAACCATGAAAAAAATGCTTTCTTGTCTCATGGTTATTTCCCAGAATTTGAAATAGTATTTTACTACCAGTGTTTCCAAACTGGAAGCATAACCAGGCGGTAGAAAGGGAGAATCAGAAAAATAGAGGCAACTTGCTTAAATTGTAGCTCAGTTATGGGCACTCACCTGTGCCAATAAACTTTATTATTTAAAATTAATATCTAGCTGTTTATTTTTAACAATTTTAAGTTACTTATTTTGTATTCTTAAAACAGTTTAGTTGCTCTAAACAAACTGAACATTTTAGATATTGTACTTAAATATTGTACTTGTAATGCATTCTTTTTCCCCTGCCAAGCAGACCCCAACAAATGAAACATTTAAGTTCTGCCATACAAACACGCTTATGCCTCACCTGAACATCTCTTACCTTAGCTTCATATTACTCACAATAACAAGGCATTCACTGAATCCTTCCCTTATTATTCAGAGATATGAACAGTTATTGCACTTAATTTTTTTTATCACAAATAGAAACAAGCCCCCACTAAATTTTTTTTAGGAATACAAGTTCTAAACATTTTTAGAGTGTTATATAGTCTCAGGATAGACTTCAGATGATAACTCACATAATTCTAGTGCTACACGAAGCTACATCTAATTAGTATTTAGTACGCATATGCTTAAATTCTAGGACAATTTTGAAGTACGAAAATATCATGGAACACTGTACAAATGTGGAGAAAATAAATTTCAGAGAGTTTGATGGAAAATCAATAGACAAAAAGGTAAGTATTTCAGGAAGTGATGTATTTAGTATAAATCGAACTGAAAAGGTTGCCAGCTTTAGAATATGTTTCTGTGCTCTCCCAGCTGATGGAGGATTGCTAAACCGTGGTCTGAGTCATGACAAGCTGCCTGAACTGAAACATCTGAAGAATGTTTTGCTCATGCTGTTTGCTCCACAAAAAATTCATTAACTTCATTAGCAAGATATTTAGATAAATCATTACATATACAAAACTATTTTTACAGATTTAAATATTCAAAAATCATGAAAGTCTACTCACATACTAATGACTAATGTCTGCAACCGGAATAAAAGTCATCCACCCATCCCTCCAAAAATCAAGAAAGGAAAGCAAAAAACAATGACAAATGAAAATACTATAACATCTAGAAAACATACCAGGGGATCAACTGTGACAATTAATGGCCTGCTTGGCATCTCCTTCAGATGAAAGAATGAAAGATGAATTGACCAACAGAACTTTTTTTTTGTTGGGCTAAAGGTGCTTAAAGAAGGCAAAAATTCAATGCAGCAATACCATAACCAGTCACAGAAGAATGCTATATGCCACTTACAGGAACGAGGAATTTTTTAATTTCTTCCAAGGCATGACTCATGCGAGAATAGGCCTCCCCAGGTGGAGCAAACACTTCAATTAATACATGAAGCTCATCACTCAAGTGCGCGTATTTGGCTTCTCCACTTTTCCTTAGTTCTTCCTCCTATGAAAAAAGGGTGGATTTTCTTTTTTTAGAAATGGGAATCTACTAATTTTGCATTGATTTAGCCTTTATAGAGAACATGACAAAAAGACATAATATAAGCAAACTTCTAAACCCTTTGAGAAATAAAAGTCTAGTACAAGCCACTTAAAGATTTAAAAATCAATTTTGAGTGTTCTGAATGATAAAACCAGCATAATTATAATCTACAACAGACTCTAATCAGCACAGAGAAAAAATGCTAAATAGTCCAGAAGCAAGCACTCCAATATAACGGAAATTTCCATAACGGAAAAGCTGCATTAATCTGTCTGAATCTTAGCTGTCTGCAAAAAAATAAAGATCCGTTTAACCATTTAGAGCACTTTTACAAATGCTATTGTTTATTAAGTTCATTAAGTTACTTAATGAATATCTGCAGGCTGTGCATTTCAGTACTGCTACAGGAAAGTACGCCCTAGTTCTTCCATTTGAGACATGAGGTCTGAGTTTCAGTCCCAGTTCTGCTACATTGTACCTATGCAACCTAGTGTACACTGGTTTAAGATGGTGATTCACCTCACCTAGATTTATCCTGACAATCTTTGAGTCCCAGTTTTCTAGATATAAAATAAGCTGTAAATTGTAATAATGTAAATTGTAATACACATTCATAGTAGTTACTTCTGCATAAAAAGCAAAGATACAAAATAGTGATCATGTTAATGGCATTGGCTATGACAACATAATGAAAAATTTATGTCATTACTACACAAGACAGCAATAAGTAATGCTGAAGAAATGAGCTGAAAACTCAGTCTTCAAAAATATTTTGAGAAATGTAATTTTGAACTAAATATGTATGTATATCTGCATTTTACAGATGGAAAACATTATCACAGAAAAAGAAGTAAACTAATTTGCTTGAAATTGGCTAAGAGGTTAGAGCTTTTTAGTATACACTAAAATAATACTTTATGAACATTTAGATCTAAGATACAAAAAATTGTCACAATATATCATAATTCTTATTTACTTAGCTTGTTTAACTGTGGATCAACTTCACTTCTTTTATCCTTGCCTAATTTGCACTGTTGCTTAACACAAAAATATTTGCACAGTGCTATGCTTCAAACAATACGCGTACTGTTCTTTTTATCTACAATAGAAGATCCAGCCCCAAGGACTTTCTGATATTTCACAGAGTATGCAGTGGTTACATCTTCTAGCTCCAGAGCCCTAGATCTAACTCCATGATAAGTCAACAGTTTGCAGAATATGATAAAATCATAACTCCATAAATGTGATCCATGATTTCATTTTAAAAAGTTGAAAATTGACATAATTGTTTTCAAAGAAAAACTAAAAATTAAGATAAGCAGCACAGATGGTGGAATATTTTTATCTTTACAGTTAAAGTATCTGTGGCACTTTAGCTTATCACAGAAATCTCACTGAAATGCCCATAAGAACCAGAGCATAATATGACAGTCTATCATGAGATGTTACGCTATTTTTCAGATTTCTGGAAAAAAACACTTGATTGCAGCTTCTGGAACAATTTGACACGAAGTATTTCAATGCAATTAAGTTTTAACAGTTATAAAGTGACATCCTAGCAAGTGCTGAAAGTTCCTTTCTTATTGCTTTTCTAAAATTCTTAAAAAAACCACCAGAAAGCCCAAAAAGTTTTCTTTCAGGAGAAGACTAACAATAAACATTATAAAAAATATAAATGGGATCTTTTTATCCAAATATAGTAAGAGGAAAAAATAATGTTTGGCTCGTTATTTTGACGAGGATTTTGAACAGCTAAGACACCAGTAACGTGATTTTATAATGCAGACCTGTCTTACAGAAAGTTAGGCGTATGCTTGTATGGTGGTAACAAAGGTAATGTTTCTATTTTATTTTATTTTATTTATATTATTTTATTTTTATTTTATTTATTCTCTTTTATTTTCTAAAAAAAACCTCAGGAATTCTTAAAAGACACCATTTTATAACCTTCCTCTTAGGTTCAGCACATGCTTTCTGTCACTACTCAGTTGGAAACAGCAGGCTAGGGCCATGAGATCCTGAACATTTCTTTCTGAGGATATCTAATGATATTTATTCTTACAGAACGCATGCAGTTAAAGACTGAATTTCCACACTGTACCTCTTCCCACAATGGGGTAAAATGTCAGAAAAATGCTTCTTTTGTTGCAAGTGTGTGTGTTGATAGAAACTTCAATCACTCTGGGAAAAATATGGAAGAGTAAGAACTCACAGACCATGTGAGCACGTTACCAAGCTTTGCTTCCTAAAGCCAGTAAATATGACTGAGCATTTCAGGATCTATGTGGCCTTACATTTAATCGTATGTCAGGTATTGGGCATCTAACAAGCGAAACAACAGATTGAACTCACACTGTTGAGGGGACACTCGTTGATACGGAAGGTTACCTACTGGCAGGTAATACAGCTTTCCAAATGCAGTACAGATGAACAGGCTCTCCAAGTTGGACAACCCCTTCATAAGTCTTCATTAGCAAGCAGCACAGCCCAGCTGTACAGCCAAATCATCAGTGCTGAGGACCCGACACCCACACTACTCATATGTAGGATGACAGCACTGCCCCTTCATTAGCACTTCTGTGGCTTTTGCTCCATGCTAATTGTAGCCTGGTTGCACAAAGTGAGTTCCCATCAGAAGTCAGAGAGCCTTCCTGGAGCACAGCTTTGTTTAGTTCTGTAGGAGAGGAGTCCAGTTCCTGCCCCGTGATCTCTGTTCACTGTAGGTAATGACCCAGTCGTTGGGAACGACCAGGAGGCCCTCCTCTAAACTGCGCTTCTGATTCAAACTAAAACACTAATGAATAAACACCTCACATAGTGCTGGTAAAGACCAAGACGGATTATGAGACTTTCTAGCATCTGTTACATGAAGGCAAAATGAGTGATATTATTATAAATCTATCTTATATGGTGTTCTTTATAAGGTTATCTGGGTGCTGTTGGCCTTGCAAGACTCTGCACCCCTAAAGGTCTCTAATGCATCAGTCCTGTTACCTGTGGACTGGGGCTGTTTCTCATATAACACAGCCTTAACCACCTGTGAGGTCCAGCTATTCCCCATGGTGCTGTCTGTAACTTCTGTCAGATTCTCATGGCTTTTTATGTTCTACGACTTCCCTTGTCATGTCCAGCAGTTTTCCAGACCCTGCTCAGCTTGCACAGCCTTGGCCAGGGTCTACCGCTCAGCCCAGTCATTAGCCCAATGCCCTCGAATGGAACTGTAACTGTTTAAAACTACTTGAGTAGACATGAACCAAATTGCAGTGAAAGACAATGGTGCATTGAAAGCCTCATGGATTCACTCCAGAGAACCACCTGGAAAACAATCAAAATGTAGTTAAGTCTTAGGCACTGGGTCTTAGGGAAAAAACTCAACAAACCTGGGACCTGATCAGTTCTGATTTATAGAATGAATCGAATAGATTGTCTGGGCTTCTGGATCAGTGTTGGCAATCTCTCTTTGTACTGACCCTCAGGTTAATAATACGGTTCTTATTTACTGCATAGTGATGAGGTTTAACTCCACTGCGGGTTGAGCACAGCAAAGCAAACACACACCACCCTCCAGAGACAACTGCCCCCTCATCCTGATCCCCTTCCACTTCCTTCTGCATGACAATTCTCTTCATCTCTCAAGCCTGACAGTGCTATATTCCATACCCAAACCCAGCTCCCCTTGTACTATGTGCTTCAGGCTTCCTTTGTCCTCATCTGCTGCCTTACGGCGTCTGTCACACGGTGCTGAAGTCCACCTGCCTTTAACCTGATGCATGACTCCATAACCCACTCACTCATAAAAGTTAATGGATATTTTGAAACACCTGCTGTGTTTTATAATTTCCAGTTGACCAAAGCAGGGGAAATGAATTATAAAAATATACAGAAGAAATGTGAGGAGTACAGACCTCTGCAAAAGTGAAGAGTGTGAGTGATAAGAACATAAAGGCCAAGAAAAATGATGAATTATCTCTGGATGAGAAAGCAGCCTTACCACTTTAAAAGTATGCGTGCTGACAGAGAACTGATTTCTGGCCAGAACCCTGGCAACAATGCTTGAATAGAACTACTGGAAGGAACTCGAAACAACAAATGGAGGTTGCACAGCAAATAAAATAACATAATCCAGACTGATGAACAAACAGTGTCCTCATAAAATTGAAATAACAGAATATCCAAGAATAAAACACAGGACTTCCTATAATGTAACAAATACAGCTATGAAAAGAAATAACGGCTACTAGCAGAATAGTATGAGAATTGCCGTGGATTTCATATCTTGCAAGAATTTGCAAATAAAAGCACAGTACAGAGACTAGACAAGGATGATAATCAGTGCTGTCGCTACAGAGGCATTATTCATAAGATCAATGGACAATGGAACTGGAGAAAATTAATAAGCATGCAGTTTGACAAATGCAAACCTATTAATTTTTGATCTGGACATAAATGCAAAAATCGAGATGCTGTCTGCAACACTGGTTGTAGTAGAAGAAACAAGTGAACTATACGATAACAAGTAAATCAGAATAGGTACAATTTCTTGGTGGTACCTGTTTTGGGATTAAAAAGCTTTCAGGTCCTAGGTCCCATCAGTGGAGAACAAAAAAAAAGAACAATTTGAGAATGGATGAGGTGGAATGGGCCAGTTCTCAGCAGAGTATAGAGCAAAGCTAGAAGAGCTTAGCCATCCCTTGACTCTTGTTTTTAAACAGTTATTCTCACTCCAGGAAGAAGAATAAAGAAAATGGAGTCAATGAGTACATGAGGAGAGCTCATGCAGCAGAGCTGAGAGAGTGAGTGTACAACCTGCAGTCAGCCAGAGATCCCATAATGAAACACAGGCATGCAAAAGGAACATTGCTTACAGCAGAGGAAATTTAGGAGATACAGATGACAATTATTTTTCCATACTTCACGCATGGTTAAAATTCTCATAGTTACTTCGGGGAAATGGAGCAGAG